CAGGTTGGGTGCATGAGACAAGTGCTCGGGCCTGGTGCACTGGGAAGACCCAGAGGGATCGGGTGGAGAGGGAGGTGGGAGGGGGGACCGGGATGGGGAATACGTGTAAATCCATGGCTAACTCATTTCAATGTATGACAAAAACCAATGTCATAAATTGTTGTAAAGCAATGTTGTAAAGTAATTAGCCTCCAACTAATAAAAATAAATGGAAAAAAAATAAAAATAAAAATAAAAATAAATAAATATAAATGGACTAAATGAGCCAATTAAAAGACATGGAATACCTAAATGGATACAGAAACAAGATTCATACATATGCTGCCTACAAGAGACTCACTTCAGATCTAAAGATACACACAGACTGAAAATAAGGGGATAGAAAAAGTATTCCAAGCAAATGGAGACAAAATGAAGGCCAGGCTGGCAATATTTGTATCTGACAAAATAGTTTTAAAACAAAGACTATGACAAGAGATATATAAGGACATTACATAATGATCAAGGGATCAATTCAAGTAGAAGATATATCAATTTTAGATATATACACAACCAACATAGGAGCACCTAAAAACATAAATATTAACACACATAAGGGGAGAAATTGATGGTCATGCAGTAAAAATATGAAGTAACACCCCAGTTACTTCAATGGACAGATCATTCAGATAAAAAATAAATAAGAAAACAAAGGCCTTAAAAAACATATTAGACTAGATGGAGATATATATATATATATATATACACACACACACACACACACACACATATCTCTTTCTCCAGGAAGTTTGAAAGGGTCCGTGACCAAGGAGACTGGAAGGTCATTACAAGGACAGGAATTTTATCATCTGAGAAGCATACAGAGGAATCTTATCTCAAGTATCTCAACTAGTGGGATTCTTTATCTGGTGTGGTGACTCAGCACTTTACTCTTAAAGGATCTTAGTGGTCTTGTGTTTATTGGGCAGTAGCCTGTCACTGACCATCACTAATAGGAATGGAAATACCAAGTTACCAAGATGTAACACAGGGAGTCTCATCTTCCCTTGGCAATTAGCATCACCCACCTAACTTGCATAGTAAGTTTATCTGTCTGTCTATTGCTTTCCTACAAATTAAGGCCTTTAAAAATCAGAAGAGTCCAAGGTCATAGAGACAGAAGTAAAACTTCTGAGACTGAGTTAATTGGTTTAATAGTAGGAATGAGAGCCATTCCTACGGTTGCGTCTTTGTCTCTAGAACCATGTATTCTAGCTATGAGAGACACAACACCCTATACTCACTGCTGGCTTAAAGCATATACCCATCCTGAAAGACAGCATCCCAACCTTGAAGGGGGTTGTCTTTCCACTATCTACATTACGAAGTCTTACACAATGCTCAGGCCAGCTGTTTCTGAGTGATATGGGATGTGAACTCATGGCTTCAACACTATTTCACAGTAAAACGTTTGTTGGCCAAAAGTCGCGTTGTGTGGGATACAGACACAGGAAATAAACCCTGCAAGACCACAGTGAGTGGTACCGACAGCAGCGTGGTCATGGGCAAGGAAGGCAGAGCCATTCCTGTTCCAAGCACATTCCCTAAACAAATTAGCAGGGGCTTGACCTTTCAGGTCCATCATCCCCAGAGCTGGCCTGGCACTGGCGGTTCTCTCCCAAGGAATATTGGGAAAGGGCCGGCCATTAGGGTAACTGTACCCCAGAATAATGACACATGCCTCAGAGAAGCACAGTGCTGTGTGTTAGGGGTAGGGCAGCACCAGCCAAGAGCTGGAACTCAGGTTCAGCTCCCAGGCAGCTCAGCACAGCCATCAAGACCCTGGAGGGATGGCGGATGGAAGTGTCTGGTGAGGGGAGAGCAGCACAGGGAGATCCTTGCCCAGCAAAAATCACATACTCTTCAAACCAAGACCTTCCCAAGGATGGAAAGTCTAGGTCGTCTTGGACCCAATGGAGCAGAAGTAATGTGATGGCCTAAGAGCAGAGGCATTTCTCCGTTTGTCCAGACCACGTGGGCCTCGCTGACTGCAGTTGGTTCCCACAGGCAGGAGCTTGCAGCCATGACACAGAGCCTGTTTCTGATCCATCCCATGGATGGGTGTTTAGAATCAGATTCTAATTGCCTTTCAAATGGGTGTTCCTACCATTTGAGCATGTGCAATGACATTTCTACCTGCTATCTTAAGAACGGGCTTTCCTGCTAGCTCAGCTGGTAAAGAATCCACCTGCCATGTGGTGAGACTTGGGTTTGATGCCTAGGTTGGGAAGATCCCCTGGAAAAGGGAAAGGGTACCCACTCCAGTATTCTGGCCTGGAGAATTCCATGGACAGAGGAGCCTGGCAGGCTACAGTTTATGGGTTTGCAAAGATTTGGACACGACTGAGCGACTGAGTGACTAAGCACAGCACATTCAGAGTGAAAAATAAGGCTGCCCTGTTCCTTCTCTTCTCTCCCTGCTGCCCCCTCCCCCAGGGGCCAGGATGCTCCAGTGAGCAGAGCACTCTCTTCATGTCTAGAAACAGAATGACTGATGTTCTAGAGTTACATGTAATAACAGTCCTCTCAGTCTGGATNCTTGTCTAGAGACCAAATGACTGATGTTCAAGAGTCACACATAACAACATCCTATGAGCGCAACCAGCAATAAAAATAAACACAAATTTTGTCCCTGTGGGAATACCCACAGAGATGTAGGCTGCTCAAGTGGGCTCATGAGAGGGAGGGAATATAGACAATTTGGATGATATTGACACTGTCAGTTACAGCTGAACTGAGATGATAGAACCCGTATTGTGTCCACTGTACAACCATAATGTCCAGCACTTAGTAGGTGCTCCATCAGCATTTGTGTTGATGGATGAAAACCAATGTGCTTTTCAGTCCTACTAAAGACAGGATCCCTTTCTAACTCAAAGGTCCCGGTGACCAGCAGGGATTCTTGGCCCAGAGGCCAGCAGTACCTAAAGGGATAGGCTGACAGGGACTCAGACTACTGAGCCATCAGAAGCCAGAGGACCCTGAGCACATGGGGGACACTGAGCTACATGTGGGGAGTTGAGATGGCCCTGTCCAGGTGAGAGATGGGGCCCAGCGATCTGGACCTGTCTGGTACAGCACAGGCCTGGTCCCTCTGATCCCTCTATGCCAAGGCATGAGCTGGGTTGGCACGTCAGTGGTGAGGCCCTGCTGGAATCCCATGGGACTCGGGTATGCAGGATGGGAGGGATATGAGGAAGGGGTCAGCAGAGATCAGTGTGGTCTGGAGGGGACTGGAGCTGGTGGCCCTGCTGAGGACATGCGGTGATGGGCAGGGACGGAGAAGAAGGGGAGGCAGAGGAGACTGGAGGCAGAGTGGGCCCTGGGCTCTGAGCAGGGCAGAGCAGGACACTCTGCCTGGGTGAGATGGAGGGGCTTCTCAGGAGACCAGCCCTGTTCTGGACCAGCTCCCCTGGCTGTGGGGGTTACAGGTCAGCTCAGGTAGCCCCCCTCCCCAGTAGGCAGGCCTCTGTCCTGGAGTTGCTACCCAGGCTGTGCTGTTGGTGTTGGGGCCCCACGGTGTGACCCACTCCCTCCTGCCATGTACCCAGAGCAAGGAGTAAGGAGCTCACCCTGAGCCCCAGGACCAGAGAGGTTCATGTTTTCCCCTGATGGTGCTCAGCTTCAGCCCTTGCAGGAGGGCCGGCCCTGGAAGACAGGTGTGTATAAGCAGACCTGGGTGACAGCTTTGCATGGGGTTTAGGGGAAGAGATGGTGGGAGCGGGGAGAGGAGTAAGCAGAAAACAGCAGAATCCTCTCGTTGATTTTCTGAGCACAGACTAGATGCCTGTGAATAAGAGTCAGAGAACAAATAAGCAATCATCCCTTTGAGCTCAGCTGAGAGACATTTATTGAGTTATGGGCACACCCGCAGTGTGATTCTGGATCAGCCTCAGGGAAGATGGTCTAGTTCCTGCAGTCAGAGGCTTTTCATGGTTTTCTTTATCCAGGGCAGGAAACTTGAGAGTTTGGTGTAGGCCCGTGGAGTTGATCCATCTTTTCGTCCATAAGAGGCAATGCCCTGGGCCACATTGCCACATATGAGAGGGCTCCCAGAGTCCCCCTGAGGACAGAGAAGGGGAAGGACTGAGTCTGCTCTCCTCCTGGTCCTGCCCTCTCTCCCACCCTGCCATTTCAAGACCCCTCTCGGGGCAGGCCACTTTGCAAGGCCTCCATGTGCGAGACAAGTGGGCAAGGCAGGTCTATGGGCCCCCCAGCTGCCAAGCCCTGACCTGGATATTGCCCCTGCTTCTCTGCCCCCAGGTCTCCATCCTCTCCCTCTCCAGATGCTGAGGGCTATTGGCTCCAGGCTGCTGTGAGAACAGGGAAGCAGGTGGGAAGGCTGACATTCATCAGGGAGGGGGAGTTTAGTAAGCAGGTGGGTTCCAGCTTTGAGCAGGCACCTGGACTGAACCACCTCCCACTCAGGAAGCCTGGTTTTCTAACTGTGCCTCAGTGCCTGGCAGGTTCCCCCTTCTGGAGGAGCACCAGGTTGGGATTCACCGCAGGTCTTGTGTGACTTGCAGAGGCTCTAGGCACTCCCAGCTCTGGCTGTTCCCCTTTTCCTCCTGGAGAGAGGTCCCAGCCTAGAGGGTGAGGTGGTCCCCCACTGCTTGGGTCCCCAGGTCCCAGATCTTCTGCCAACACCCTTCTCCCCAGATCCAAGTAAGGTAGGCTGTGATTCTCACCTGAAAGGAGGTTTTCCTTGTCTTTGGGTCCCCCACACACAGCTGGGTGGTGTGGTTGTAACAGTTGCCTAAGTGGGACTCACACTTTCGATCCTCCTGCACGATCAACTTTACCTCCTGCAGCGTCTCAGGGTAGGTGGTCATGGAGTCCCTCCCCCAGCCGGCCACACTGCGCGCCTGTCCTGGCTTCACCCGGGCCATGGCCCTGGGCAGACTAAGGGGCTTCACAGCTGACGTCTGCTTGGCCTTTCTCTCCAGCTGATGGCAAGAGACAAGAGTCTGGCTCAGCCGGTGGTCCCCGAGCCTGGACACAGCAATGACGCTGACCTGTCTCCCTTCTTTCCTGAGCCACAGGGACTGGTCAGGCGGCCGGGATGGGAGGGAGGAGAGGGGTAGGTGGTCCTGGGAGGGGAAGCAAGCTGATCCCAGGAGGACAGGAGAAGCAGGGTGGTTTACCTTTAATAGCATGATGTCGTTGGAGAGGTCCTTAGAATTATAGCCTGGGTGGGGGATGGCTCTTCTCACCCGGATGACCTGCTGGGTCCTCTCCCGCTGTTTGATGTTGTGGGCCCCCAGGGTGACACTGATTGAGCTGCACAGAGGGCAGAGCGGGAGATGGGGGTCACAGCCCCAGGGTTGACAGCCCTGGAGCCATGAAGGGCAGGTGACTCCAGGGCAAGGCTGCCACTGAGGGGAAATGCAGGTACCAGGAGGGCCCTGGGGGCTAAGCTGTCTGTACTGTCTGTCTCTTGTTCAGACAGCAGCCAAGGTCAGATTCTGGAGCCATTGTGAAGGGCACAGCTATTCCCCATGGGCAGTTAGCCCTAGGAAAACGTGAAGTTGCATCAGTTTGCATTCTGATATCCAGGCGCACCCTACGTCTAGTCTCTCTCACTTCAGCAATGCTTCAGGCAGTGACCTTCCCTGTTTCTCACCCTTTCACTCTCCAGCTGCCCTCTTTCTTGCCTTCCCAGGAGCCCTCCTGTTAGCCCTCCTAACAGCTCCTGGAGAAAAAGGCAGGGCTCCCTTGCCAAGGGTGTTCAGAACGGTACTTGCTGCTCCTCACCTTCCGTTGCAGTGAGCAGCTGTCAGCACGAAGTCCTGTCGAACCAGGAACCCACCGCACATCATCTTGTCATCCTGAATCCGGTACTGAAGATACGCCATGTAGGGGCGGGAGTGGGGCTTGGCTTCATGGCCCCCGATGATCTCCCCTGAAGGAAAAGGGCTATTCTGCTTAGAGCACCCACCGAGTGTACCCTGTTGGCATTGGCTTCGTGCTCAGAACAGCTGGGCACTGGGGAGTCCAGCCTGGAGTTGGTGGGGCAGGAGGAGGCTGGGGAGGGGGCTCCCCTTCCTCCTCTAAAGAAGAGTAGCTGTCTGGGTCTGCGAATCTGCCTCCCACACATAATTGGAGGTGAGCATGGAATCTGCCTGCAATGCAGGAGACTCAGGTTTGATATCTGGGCTGGGAAGATCCCCTGGAGAAAGGAATGGCAACCCACTCCAGTATTCTTGCCTGGAGAATTCCATGGATAGAGGAGACTGGTAGGCTACAGTCCTTGGGGTCACAGAGAGTCAGACAGGACTGAGCGACTAACACTTTCACTTTTCATACCTGTCCTAGGGATAGCAAAGTCCTAGAGGCTTCTGAAAATTCCTCGCCTACCTGTGCTTTATTCCAGGTGAGTTTCTAAGGGCCCCATTACCCTATTTTATTCAGGATAGCCCTGTTTTCCAGGGCACAGGAATTCAGAGTAGGGACCTAGATGTCACCATAGCCTCTTTCCCAGGTCCTGACTGGTAGTAAATGCCCAGTGAGTGTTTGTTGGCTGCATGAAGGTGTGGCCATGATCCTCCTGCAGCCTCCCTGCTCACAGTGGGCCTCTGGATGGGGGCTGTTGGTAGGGCCAGTTCTGGTGGGCTTCTGGGAAGCAGGGCAGTTCAGGTCTACCAAATACTCGCTTCATCCTTGAAAGAGAGGAGCCCCTGATGGCCTGGGAAGGGAAGCCAAGTTGGGTAAAAGGCCTGTGGGTCCTGGAGATTGAGCAAACAGAGGCACAGGTCTGCCAAGCAGATGCTGAGGAAACTAGAAGCAGAGACCAGACCTACTCTGCCCTCTTCAGGGGCAATTTAGTATTTTCTTTTCTCCAGTTTGCAACCATCTGCCATCACTTCTGGGAAAGCTCCACTTTCCAGATGGCAAAGGTAGGGCTGGAGGAAGGGCTGGTACCCACTGGCTCCTCTTGAGAGCAGGCTTTGTTCTGTTGCTCCTGCTGGCGGTTTATCCAGCATCATACTCCCTGGTATGAGGTGGGATGGAAGCTGGTGTTCAGAATGTTCCCAGCTGGTGGATAGCTGGACCAGGGACGTGCAGAACGGATGGGACCTCTGTGCCACCTGGGGGATGGGGTTGGGCCCCTAGGATGGGGATGGTCACTCACCTGCCTTTGCCCTGGGGGTCAGGAGAAAGGCCACCAGGAGCAGGAGTGGCTGCATCTTCCTAGAAAGACTGCCAAGGTCAGAGATGCTGGCACTTCCTCCTGGCTCTCTTTCAGATCCCCCAGCCTTTTGGAGAGAAACACAGAGTTAGTGGACTCAGTGATCTCATGTGCTCCCCTCCGGCTTTGCGATGCTTCATCCTAAAGGCTTTCTATGAAAGCTTACCCCGCCCCCACTCCATCTGCCTGATGACGTTCTCTGGGTGGTTGTGTGAGAAACATACAGTGACCACAACAGTACCCACAGATGGTGACTCAGAGCAGACCACTTGTTCCAGCCCAGAGCAGGAACCCAAGAGCGCAAGGTGGGGACTTGTAGGGTGTGGTATCGCCCAGAGGTAGTAGAGCCCAGAAACCAGAGTCCCCAGTGGTAGAACCACCAGGGCCTCATTTCCATGCTGCTGAGTCCACAGGATAATTTCTTGAGCAGATACGGGTTTAGGCTCTTCTCTATGTTATGACCAAACACACTGGAGCTGTGTCTCCTGCCCTTAGAGAGCTGACCATCTGCTGGGAGAGAAAGAAACATCCATGACCTGAGTGCAGCGTGGGAACGGCCATGGTCCAGGGGTGCACAGAGCTTGACTGCCACCTACTAAGTCCATGTAGTCATCCACTCGTCATCTCGACTTCCTTTCTAAGACATGTGCACCCGTGGCTGATTCATGTCAGTGTATGGTAAAACCACTACAATATTGTAAAGTAATTAGCCTCCAATTAAAATAAATAAATTTAAAAAAAACCCACCATTTTAAAAAATTACAAATGCTCAGAGTGATCGAGTCCATTTCTCTTGTCCATGTTTTGCAAACAAATGGACTGCACTTGACATTCATTGGCCTAATTTAACAAATCACTATGACTCTAGAAACTGCATGTGCAGATTGATGTAAGCCTAGGTCATTTCTCCTTTGGGTAGGCTGTGGTGGCTTCCACCTAAACCACCTGAACAAAGACAGGGAAAGAGCTGGTTTGCCAAAGGAAGTTTGGATTACTAAGTTGCCTATGCCATGTGAAGTAGGAAAGCATGCTGGGTGACCAAAGACCAATAATGGTCCTTTGAGTATTGTCCGTGCTGTGTCCATAGGGCCACGCTTCAGATTTAGCAGGCCAGGCACATTAGAAGCTCACACTGGCTGAACAAACTCTGTTGGAGACCTTGCTCTACGGAAATAAAGGATGGTTCTTTCTAAACAGTCCAAGCCCAGCCCTGTTCAAGAACAGAGAATTTCTGAGTGGTTAGAGTCTGGGGATTTAAATGTCTATCTAGACGTATTCTGTACTTTACAGCTTTCCGAGAAATATTATGCATCAAAAGACGTAATTCCAGGGTAAATATCCTCCTTATCAAACCAAATACATTTATCGAACCTTTAGTTTTTTGAACTTAGTTTGACTATCAGTAGAAATTTTTAAAATAAAATTAGCTTTGCTATTTTTGTGTAGTATATGTTCATTAAGAAAATTTGGAAAGTAGAAAGGAAAAATATTACTCATTTGCTTATGTCTCACAGATAGATTATTATCATAGGCAGTGCATTTAAAATACTTGGGATGATATTAGGAAGTGTTAGGAAGTGTTCCTCCTTCTTTAATTTTTTGGAACAAGTCTGGGTAAGACTAGTGTTAATTCTTCTTTAAATGTTTTATGGAATTCACCAGGGTAGCCTGGGATTTTCTTTGTGAGAAGGTTTTTGATTTTTGATTCAATCTCTTTATTGTCATAAGTCTGATTAGATTTCCTATTTATTTTTGAATCAGCTTTGGTTATTTCTGTATTTCCAGGGAGTTGTTCATTTCATCTTGATTTTATCTAATTTGTTGGTGTACAAACATTGATAGTATTCTCTAACAATCCTTTTAATTTCTCTTAGGCTGGTAGTAATGTCCCCTTTTTTTAATTTCTGATTAATCTTCTCTTTCTCTTTTTTTGTTGGTCTAGCTAAAAGTTTATCAATTCTATTGATCTTTCCAAAGAACCAACTTTTGTTTTGTTGATTTTATTTTGATTATTTGGCTCTAATCTTTAGTATTTCCTTCTATCTGCTGGCTTGAGTTGTTTGATCTATTTTCAGTTTTGTTAGGCTTAAAGTTGTGCTGTTAGTTATAAATGTTTCTTCTTCTTTAATGTCCTCATTTATAGTTATATATTTTCCACTGAACATTACTTTTACAGCATCCTATACATTTGATATGTTGTATTTTCATTTTCACTTGTCTCAAAGTACTTTCTAACTTTTCTTATAATTTCTTCTTAGGCCCACTGGTTACTTAAGATTGTGTTGTTTAATTTCCATATATATCTATGTTTGTGAATTTTCCAGTTTTCCTTTTGTTATTCATTTCTAGCTTCCTTCCATTGTGGTTTAAAAAGATAATTTGTATTATTTCAGTCTTTTAAAATGTATTGAGAAATGTTTTATGGCCTAACCTATGGTTTATCCTAGGGAATTCTTCATATGCCCTTGAGAAGTATGTGTAGTATAATTGGTTTATAGGTGTACTATTTACTACTGAAAGTAAGGTATTGAGGTCTCCAACTATTTTTATAAAACTGTTTCTCTCCTCAATTCTCTCAATGTTGCTTCATCTATTTTGGAGTTCTGATGTTTGGGTGTTATGTCTTCTTAATTGATCTTTTATCAATATATAAGGTCCTTTGTCTCTTTTAACAATTTTTCACTTAAAATCTATTTTATCTAATATTGGTATAACCATTCCAATTTCCTCTTGATTACTATTTACATAGCATATCTTTTTCCATTGTTTCATTTTCAACCATTTTGTCTTTGGATCTAAAGGGAGTCTGTTGCAAGCTACATAGAGTTAGATCATATTTTTAAATTCATTCTTCCAATCTGTCTTTTAATTGGTTAGTTTAATCCACTTACAATTGAAGGGATTGCTGACAATGAGGGACTTGCTTTTGCCATTTTGCTATTTGTTTTTTATATGTTTTATGTGTTTTCTGTTTCTCTTCAAAATTGCCTTCTATTGTGTTTGATCACTTTTTTCCCTAGTGTGTTATTTTGAATCCCTCTTCCTTTCCTGTTCTGTATATTTTAAAGTTACTTTCTAAAAAATAATAATAATAAAATTACTTTCTTAATGGTTACCATGGTTAATGCCCTAAATTTATAACAATATACTCTGCTTACAGATCAATTTAGCCTCAACATTATACATTAATTCTGCTCCTATTTAGTTCCATCGCCCACCTTGTTATTGTCGCAAATGACACCTTTATACATGTGTGTCCATTAACATAGGTTATAATTATTGTCTTATGCTTTTGTCTTTTAAACCATATGAGAAACAAAAAGAAGTTACAAGCCCAAAATACAAATACTACTATATTTTACAATTATCTATGGGGTTATTTTGACCAGAGATTTTGTTTTCTCTATTCAGCCTCAAGTTGCCATCTGATGTCTTTCTGCTTCAACTTAAAGGGTCCCTGTTAGCATTTCTAGTAGGGCAGGTCTGTCTGCGCACTGCGCTGCACTCTCTCACTTCAGCTGTGTCCGACTCTGTGACCCCGTGGACTGTAGCCCCCAGTCTCTTCTGTCCATGGGATTCTCCAGGAAAGAATACTGGAGTGTGTTGCCATGCCCTCCTCCAGGGGATCTTCCCAACCCAGGGATCAAATCTTCAAGTCCTGTGTCTTCTGCATTTCAGGTGAATTCTCTTCTGCTGAGCTGCCAGGGAAGCCCAGGACAGGTCTACAGGGCAGTAACAATGATTAATTCCCCTAGCTCTTGTTTATCTGGGAACATCTGTATTTCTTCATGTTTGGAGGGCAGCTTTCCCAGATATATAATTTTTTGTTGCCAGATCTTTTCCTTTCGGCACTTTAAATATGTCATCCCACTGTCTCTATGGTTGCTGATGAGAAATTGGGCATTAATATCATTGAAAAATCACTTGTCCATAAGTCATCACTTCTGTCTTGCTGCTTTCTAGATCTTGTCTTTGGCTCTTGACAGTTTGGTTGTAGTGTGTCTAGTGTGGATTTCTTTGAGGGACTACTCTACTTGTAGTTTGTGGGCTTCTTTGTTATCTATGTTCCTATGTTTCATCAAATTTGGGATATTTTTAGCCATTATTTCTTCAAGTATTTTTTTTTCTGACCCTTCTTTCTTCTCCTTTTGTGACTCCCTTAATGAATATGTTAGTACATTTAATAGTATCTCATAGATCCCTTAAACTCTATTCATTTTTCTTCATTCTTTTTTCCCTTCTGCTCCTCAGACTGAGTTATTTTATTTTCCCTCCAAGTTCCCTCCTAGCTTTGATTTGAACTTTCCCTCCAAGTTCACTGATTCCTCTGTCTAGTCATATCTACTGTTGAAATTCTCTATTGAAATTTTTGTGTCAGTTATTGTGCTTTTCAGTTCAAGAATTTTAATTTATATCTCCTTATAGACATTCTCTACATTTGCATATATTTTTCTGATTTGCTTTACTTCCTTTCATGGTTCCTTCAGCTCTTTGAGTATTTTTTTTTTCTTCTTTGATTATTTTTAAGACAGTCAGTTTAAAATCTTTGTCTGGTATAAACAGTGTCTGTGTGTTCAGTTGCCAAGTTGTATCTGACTGTTTGTGATCCCACAGGCTATGGCATGCGGCCTCCCTCTCTGTCACTATCTCCCAGAATTTGCCCAAGTTCATGTCCATTGAATACAATGTTATTCAACCATCTCATCCTCTGTTGCCTTCTTCTCCTTCTCCTTTCAATCTTTCCCAGTATCAGGGTCTTTTCATCAGGCTGTTTGCATCAGGTGGCCAAAGTATTGGAGCTTCAGCTTCAGTATCAGTGCTTCCAATGAATATTCAGGGTTGATTTCGTTTAGGATTGACTGGTTTGATTTTGTTGCTGTCCAAGGGACTCAAAAGAGTCTTCTCCAGCACCACAGTTTGGAAGCATCAATTCTTCGGCTCTCTGCCTTCTTTATGGTCCAATTCTCATATCCGTACGTGACTACTGGAAAAACCATAGCTTTGACTATATGGACTTTTGTCAGCAAAGTGATGGCTTTGCTTTTAAATAATACACTGTCTAGGTTTGTCATAGTTTTCCTGCCAAGAAGCAATCATCTT